ATGCTTGGAGATGAGTCACTTCAATTTCTGGCCTCTTTTCCACAGTATTCTACCCTCTGTGTCTGTTTCCTCTCATTAAAAGGATGAGGTCATTGGATTAGGGCACATCATGGATTAGTTCTCATCTTAACTAACCACACCTCAAAGGCAATAATCCCAAAAAAGGTGGACATAATTTGGGAGAAACACTATTCAATTGCACACAACAGCTACACCCTTTCAGTTCAATTTGCTATTCCTAACGTTCTAGGTATAAAAATTAGCAAAGTAAAATGAATTTCTTGTGATTTGGATTAGCAGAGAACAGATTTTTTTATTTAAAAAAAAGCCTTTTTGGGCCTCCCTGGTGGCGCAAGGGGTTAAGACACAACCTATGAAGCTTACCACAGCCACTGCAGCATGAGTTCGATCCCTCGCCAGGGAGTAACCCACGTGGCGCAGCAGACCTCTCCTGATTCGCCCGCTGCTCCCTTCAGCAGTGTATTTCAGTCAATCTGCCTGTTCTGTTTCCCTTTGTCTCTGGTGAATCCTCTCACCCCTCGCACCTCTGGCCTGTACCCCAGATCTTGTATGCACAAATAAACCTTAAAAAAAAAAAAAGCCTTTTCATTCAATGGGGCCAAGGTCAAAAATTACTCTGCATGAGCTTGGAAGTTCCTCATATTTCTTGTATGATCTTTAAGCCAGCTATTGCCAGAGTTCCTTATACAGGCAAGAAAGTAGTTATGAACAGCTCACCTCAAAATCTGCCTTTGGGTGTTTTTCTTTCAGCAAGTTCCCTCTAGAATATCATGATATGGGCCTGTTGCCCATCCCCAGCAGCAACTTCCTCCTTTTGACAATAATTTCAGAGCTCTGGGAAATTAAAAGGAGCAAATTGCACACAAAATTATTGGTGACCTGGGTCTGCAGGATCCTTTCAGGATATCACTTCTATACACCTAGACCTGCATGCACAAAGAATACAGAGGAAATAATAAACACTAGGTAATACATTGATAGAATTACTTGATTAAGGTATAGAATCCTTACATACTCATTGCCTAAATATCAAAAATACCAGCTGAAAAAAACAAGGGTCCTAAGTGACAAAACTACAGTGAATAAGGCTGGGGGGGGAGGTGTGCTTAAAAAAAAAAAAGATGAAAGGGCAAAGAGATATTTTCTAAATAAATATGCTTTAGTTCATTTGTCGCTACGTTTTATAAATCCATGCCCATCTGTTTCAGTTCCTTGCTCTTTATGTGAGACAGCCTAGTGAGGAACCATTGGGTGATTGGAATTAGGTTCAAGGAAAATTTATAAATGTTTCCTACACCCATTATTATCTTTAAAGGGATACTGATACCCTATAACAAAAAAGCAGAAGCACAGGAAAATGTTAGTAAATTTGGAATAAGCAAAAATGGATACTGAAAATCTTCACGTGAGGTGTCAATATTCTGACCTTCAGCCTGGCACTGCCCTGGAGCTATTTCCAACTTTTATAAGTTGTAGATAATTGATAATCAGGCAAAATAATTGTCTATTGACAATCCTGGACTATTAATATGCAATCAATTCTGACTTGTGGAGGTTCAATTGACTTTCCTTCTCCACAATGGAAATTTGTAACCACTTATAAATTATTCTTTAGATTCTCTTTTGAATCAGGTGTCATAGTTTTCCCAGTTCCCTCATTTAATGAGCTAAATAAATCTTTGCCACGTGTTCACTTTATATTATGTATATCATGTTACTTAAAAAATGATTCTTTAACAGATTCATGAAACAAAATATTCCACCATTTTCAGGATGAAAAGAAGCTGATCAAATTTTCCTGAAATTTGAATATAGTCATTAGATTAAATTTAAATGAATTTATATATTCCATTTACATATTTCTGGAATAGCACTCGTGTATAATTATTAATCCCCACATAAACGAACTAATAGTTCAAGGTGTTAGTAAATGAACTGATTTCCCAGTGTCTTCATTTTAGATGGCTTCTGCCTAGAAAACATTTTAGATTAGCTCTGCTCCAGGACTAAGGAAAACCTGTAATAAAGCTATAGAAAATGCAAATTCATTAGATTGCTTTAAGAATTACCACATCAAAATTAAAATTGACAGCAACAAATTCCAAAGATGACCACTTGGTGACAATGCAATAGCTATTACAGTTTAATAACAACTTCACAATTTACATGTCATGGAAGAAGTGATGAAGAAAAAGAAAAGGAGCTGTAACACTTTACACAGGGGACAGGAACCCATCTGCATCAAAATTCTGGCTGCAGGTAACCCTTTATCGGGCCCCCTCTCCTCACTATGCTGGGCTCAGGCAAAATTGAGAATTTAGAGAATATGCTTTCTAATATTTTCACTGTCAATGTCTGCTAACCCATTATGCCTGTAGTTTTCTCTAATCCAGTCTGTGCTAAGATTTTGAATAACTCTTGTACACTAAACTTTTAATAACTTTCAACGTGTACCTTTCCCAGGAGGAGTGTTATTTTAAAAGAAAATTGCAACCCACACATAGTCAATGGATCTTTGACATAAAGAGCAAAGGCAGTTTATGGAGAGAGCCTAGTCAGCAAGTGGTATAGGAACAACTGTACATCCACATGCAAAAAGAAAAATAGCACGAGACCTTAAAATTTACTCAAAAGGAAACAATGGATCCGAGGTCTAAATATAAAACACAAAATTATGGAACTTCTAGAAGATAACAGAGTAAATCTTGATCTTGGATTTGGTGATGACTTTTTAGATACCCCATCAAAAGCATAACCTCTATCGAAGAAAATACTGAAAAGTTGGACTCCATTAAAATAGAAATTTTCTTTTGAGAAAGACACCATTACGATAATGAAATGATAGGGCAGATTGGGAGAAAGTATTTGTGAAACAATTATCTGATAAAGGATGTTATCCAAAATACACAAAAGAACTCTCAAAATTCAATAAGCCAACCAATCCCATTTTCGACTTCTGACTTCCCAAATTGTAAGATAATGAGTTATTATACACTAGTACATGGTGGTAATTTGTTACAGAAGCAACAGGAAACTAATATGGAGATGTGGGGAAGAAATCACTAGAAATGATTTTTGGAATAAAGGGGTAACTTAAAGGAATGAAGAATCCCAATGAAGAAGCAGATTTGGGAAGGAGTTTAATTTTGTGGACAACATTAAAAAGGAGGGTCTAGCCTGGCGGTCGGAGCAATATGGTACCATACATGTGAAGACCTACACTGTTGTATAGTCATACACTGAATCACACACTATTGTATACAGTCACTTGACAAAAAATATACAACTAAAGAAATAAAAATGGTTTACAAAAATACTTGATTCAAGGATGAGACCAACTGCTTCACGTGAATTGTAGAGATGCAGACTCAGTTTCACCCTTGACTCGCCACTGCCATGTTGTGTATTAAACCTCACTTCACTTTACAAAAAGGAAGTAGAATATAAGCAACATCATCCCTTATGCAAGACTGTTAAAGAATGCTGCGCATCAACTCTGGGTAGAGAACTCTCACTGTGCTATTTCCAGGTTTTAGTTATTATGAATAAAATCACTATGAACATTCATCTACATGTCTCATTTTAAGCAGATGTTTGTATTTATCTCGAGTAAATATCTAGAGTGGAATTTCCAGGTTACAGCAAGGTATATGTTTAATTTAAAACTTCTATTATGAGGGAATTGATAGGTCCTGAAGTAAGACTGTGTTTAAGTGAAAACAGGCTGGCTAAAGTGGAAAGATTTTTCTTTTTTGTGATCACACCAAATTTTTGTGAGGGGCTGCAATTTTATTAAAACATTTTATAAATCTTTGATCATAATTTCAGTCCTCAAACTAGAATCTGCCCTAAATAAGCAGAATGTCTTTACTGACATGATGGTAAGAGTATAATTCATTTGTAAACCCTTTAGCATTACTGGATCCATACTCTAGATATTCTGGTATTACTAACAATGTATTTCATACCTCTTTTTAATTGAGTCTTCTGCATCTCTACACAAATGATTCTGTTTGGTTGGAAAAGTTGACATAAAAAAGAAGCTAAAGTATTGGCAAAATCGCTGGGATGTACCCTATCAAAACTCGTTACTGACTTCTCCACAAGAGATTAGAAAAAAATATTTTTCATTTTGAAGGATAAACATCGTCACTAATCACCTTAGAAATATTCTAATATTTTATCCATTTTGCTTGTATTTCTAAGACATTTACTTACAACCTAAGTAGTCTGTGATACATGAATTCCAAAGTGATCCTTTTTCTGTCAGATGAATTAGATGCCTAGTTAAAAACTCCTGACAGCAATATCAGATGGCTGGACCAGAAACAAATACTGCTCACCCAAATATTAACCAATTTCCTAGAGATACTGAGGCCATAACCCACATGTATTAGAACAAGGATTACTGGCGCCGCCATAACAGGGCATTTCTGAATCTGTGCTGGCAAACTACCAAAGCTTCTATAGAGCAGCCTTTTAACAAGGTCTTACTTGTCTATGCTTCCGCAAGGTTTCAACTTTTGATTAGAGGAGGGAAAGCAAAAAAGATCTGATATGCCAACCCAACCTTGCAGCAATGGAAAACTCAAATCAAATTTTGTCTGTTGGAAAGGTAGAAAAAAGACTCTTGGCTTAAATAGGGATTTTAGGGATTCAAAAGGGGGTCAGAAAGCTATTAGCTGAAATGGATACAGGTGTGCCTTTGTATTTAAGGCAACTATCATCAGAAAATCTCAGTGAGAAGGTTCTGAGAAAGTTTTTCAGTAATTGAAAGGAATTGGAAGACAGACCTAGAAGGCAGAAGTCTCCACTTTCTAGTCAAAAACTCTCTTGTGTATTTACAGAAAGATTTTACCTAAAAAATCCAGCATATCTGTGTCATGAGAATTCAGGAGTCTGAAAATTTTAAGACATGCTTAGGCAGTATCAAGAACTTAGAAGACACAAATAATTTTATAAAAAATTTATTTCTTTGTAAATACAAATTTCAACATCAACAAACAATAGTCCAGTGGAAAAATACTTAGCCATTAACATTGAAAACTTTTTTTAATTTAATAAATAGAACTTTGGCATTCAAAATTCTAGCTGTAAACCCTATTAAAAACAAAACCAAAAAAACCTCTTTACCAAAAAAGAGGTAAAAATTATAGTTCAGAAGGCATAAGCCAACCAGTGGCTTCACATTCTTTTCACCATAACTGTTTTTCAATTAAGTCATAACCACTGTATTTACATGTGAGGTATTCTGGGTGGTTCAAAAACTGAACCTATTTTACAGAAATCACCAGTCATAGTGACTGATTGAACACTCTGCTGTGCTTTTAATGTAACCACCTAGCACCTTACTATTACTTGTCATCACAACAACGTGATGTAGAATTTTATGTTTATGCATTTAAATAACTTTATACATATATGTACACACTACATTCCAAAGGAGTTTCCTGTTCATTCTATAGGGAAAAAGCAGAGCTCCAAAGACACGAGCTTCTCATGTTTGTGAAGGTATCCACTTAATAATGAAAAACTGCTCGTTACTTTAAAAAAAAAAAAAAAAACAACTCCTTAAACAGGTCTATTCACAGAAGAACAAGGTGCAATGCCATCAATATTCTTATAGCTAACCTAAAATAGAAATGAATGCTTACTGCAGGCAAAAAGGCACAAAGGGTTCTCTCTGTATGCAGCTGCAAGGGTTGTTAATGACTTACTGATTTGAAACTACATTCTGAGTATACTCGATACTTTGTTTAAATAAGAAAAAAAATACAAAAATCTAAAATCTTTCCCCCTTCATGATTAAATGTATAATATTATTATACAACAAATATGCCACCATGGCATTTTGGGGTGAAGTTGGAAATTTTATTCTTCATACCAAAACAGGAAATAGTTTCTTTTGTCAATACCAAGCTATCAAAAAACCAAAATGAATTACTCTGGCTCTGAGAGTTCCAGCTACTGGCAGTTTCAAATGATACAGTATGAGTGAGCATGGTTGTGAGAACTGCTTATTACTGTAATTACATATTTACAGTGATAGAAACCTATATAAGAGAATGCCAATAACCCAAATTTAAAGGTATGCCTGAGCTGAACTATTCTATGTAAAAATACAGCCCAAGTTCTCAGCTACTATGTTTTTCAATAAATGATTGCTGATATTGAAAGAGCATTTTCCCAATAAAGCAGTACCTTTACAAATAACCATTTTAACAACACTTTCCAGTCCTTGTGATTGTCTTTAACAGGTTGCTGAAAGAAATCTATTTCAGTTTAATAACTGTCATGAATAAAATAAATTTCACTAAAGTATAATACTGTTAACACACTAAATATCAGAGCACATTACAAATAAAAGGAAGGCCACATTTATTTTAAAATAAATTTAACGAAACATGTAACTAACTAAAGTCATCCTTTTTATTCTGACATCAGATGAAAAGAACTATTGTTGTCAGTTATCTGCATAGATGATTTGGATTGTTTATTGAAAAAATTGTTATTTTATCCCTGTTTTAGTATGACTGAGGCAGAATAAGCTTAATTGTAAATCCAAAATACTAATGATAAATGTTAATACTGCATGAGATACTTCCTAAGATGATAAGCATTTAATTGACAAAAGCATAATTAAAAAGTTTTCATATCTAAGGAAATTTTCAAATATATTTACTTTTAATTTTAGGTTAGTTTTCATCTCATACATATATCACTGTAGTAACTTCTCAACACATCATAGTTTAAATAGCGTTTCTATTTGTTCTAATGGTAAAGTCTTGGTTTTCAATGAGAGATACCAAGATTATTACTGTTATGACACAAGAGGTTGTTGTCCTAGAAGAGGGGCATTCCCCCCAAATTAAAATTGAGTACTGAAAAATTAAAACACTACTAGTTTCATCTCCCTCACCAAAACCTCTGCTAGGGCTATCTAATTATTATCTAGGTCCCTTCACAAACTTCAGACTCCAAGAGATTAATTTTGTAATTCAAAAATATACTTTGAAACCACACCTTAAATGCTCTTTTTGGGGAGAGCGTACATTTTGGAAACTGAAATACATCAGCAATTTATTTCCTGCTAAGTAAAAAATTTTTTATCTCAAGATACGTGAATTAAGTCAAATTCTGTAATTTTTGTAAAACTAACATTTAAAAAAACAGAAAATGATTTCCAACCATAAAGCCAGAAAGCCAGAAAACAAAAATGTATCTACAATATGTTAAAACAAATGACCTAAAGTTTCTTTAAAACAACAATCATAAAAGTCCCTAAAGGAGGACTTTTCCCAAGGAGAAATTTAAGATTTTTAGTGGCCTAAATTAGTGATTGTTTGTCCATCATTTTAGTGTGCCTTTACTTCCAAAACTGTGGTGCTTGGGGGTAGAGGGAGAGGATTCTAATAAAAGAGAATGTAAAAATCTGTGTTGCACTTGTGGTTTTTATCTGTTTTAAATTCTATTATCTACTTTACTATAAAGGGCCATTTTTATAGATATTAAATTTTACAAGGCAGAATTCCCGCTTCAGATTTTTGGTACAAATTTACTATTCCCTGATTGTCTTCAAGCCATCAATATCAAAAAGCAAATTAATACATTAGAAAGTCAAGTTCTTACCAGTGACTAAGGCCTTCCTTATTAGGCAAGGGACCTTGGGATGCAGAAGCACTATCGTGCACTGATTTCACAGTGCTCAGATCCTAAGAGGTAAGAAAAGCAGGGAGGACTCAGGCACTGAGAAGTCTGATGCCCCTAACAATGTACTGCAACAGACTGTTGAAACACAAGATAATTTATTGACAGCTGGATATGAGTCAAATTTTGAACTAATGTGTCTTCCTAGACATTTTCCTTATGGATCAAATCTCACATGTTTTCACTGCTGAAGATATTCAAGAAAAATATTTTCTGGGCACATCCCTGTCAGGAAAACAGACATGCAATCTGCTCTTGGTCAAAGTAGTATTATCCTGCTTGAGTCATACCCTTATTCCTTCAACCTTTTTATTTAGTCTGGACTTAAGTGAGATCTGGTTACATCAAGAGATCAAACCAGCTTGTAACGGACAATGACTGCCATAGCTAAGTATATTTGAAAGAATGTAATGAATGCCCTGAAGGAAATAATCACATAGTCCTTCCAAAATACCAACTAAAACACGGGAAATATGCATTTAGAAGTTTAAATGATTGTGTCTATTTAAAAATCAGTTGCACTTCACAGTGCTATCAGGTACTTCAGAAGAACTAAATTTGCCAAGTTTATATTCTATGAAAAATCCTGTTTTGAATGTACTTTACCTAATAAAGGAACTGAAATATCACCCGGGTTTATATTTTGTTTTATGCTAGTGTTAATTCAGATATAAAGAATGTAGGTTGGCCTTTTCTTAAAGTAATTTCAAATTTAAAATAGATACAAAATTATTAAAATGTAAACATTTGAGATCTGGATAAATAAGCTATTGTTCCAGAGTCATTCTGTTAATCTTTCTTTTACAATAATAATCCCAACCCTTAGAAGGTTTATAGTAATTATATATGGCTTTGCCTACATTATAAACTAAAATTGCAAATAGTAAGGGACATGTCAAAATTAGTTCAAATTATGTTAAACTGCCTTGTAGTATATAAATTACAATGCTAATAAAAGACCATCACATCAAAACTTCACACCTCTAAGTCAACCACAATCACTCTGGAAAAACAGCTGACCTATCTACAGTACTAAAATCAAATCAACCCCACAACCTCATCTTAGCACAGTGACTATTCAAAATACAAATGGTTTTCCCTGTTTTACTACTATGAGAACACTTGCCTGCTGCTGGAACTCTTGTTCAGCAAGCCCTTGAAAACCCCAAAGTACAACACAAGCTTCTACATGAAAGAAAAGAAATACAAGAATAAATACTGTGTGCCTTTATCAGAAGCTTTGACCCTAGAAATCCTTATATAAACACACATACACACACACACAAAACAAAAACAAAACAAAACAAAAATAAAAAGAACTATGGGATTAAAAGAAAAAATCCTACCCCTTTATCTGAAGGGCACTCTTCACAGTTTGGTCCTACAATCAGTAGTTTGAGAATACAGATCTTTTTTCTTACAGGTTTTATCAGATCTTTCAAATGATAATTCAATTTGTGGCCTGATTAGGTAAATCCCTTAGAAACATCCTCACACATTCCCACTCCCTTTTCCCCATCCTTATCCCTCCCCCCCCCCACCAAAAAAAAAAATAAAAATAAATCCACAGGGGGAAAAAAACAACCAATGTGCAAGTCCTATGCTACTTGCCACTTTCCATTATGGCTACTAAAAAGAAACATGAAGAACTGTTAATACAGCAGCATTTAACAACAGGTCATTATTGCTATAGAACCAACACTTGATCACTGGGTAATGCAGTTGTCCCCCATGTCCTGAGCATAGCGGTCTGATATTGTAGTTCTTAATTCATCAATGTCCCTTCGCAGCTGGCATACATCTGATAGTTTTTTAGTGAGTGTTTCTGGGCTATGGTCATTTTCAGTCTCTTCAGCTGCACAATTCATTGCTGTAGAAATAAAACATGGAGAGAATGCCTCACATTTTTTTGAATAAAGACATTTCAGGATTTCCAACTCAATTGCCATCGGAAATGTAACAGCTTTACACTGAATACAAGTCAGTCTCGGGTTTGAATTAGGCATCATTCAATATTAAAAAGATCTTGTCTACTTGGTTTCTTTTAAAATTCTGCTAATTAAAATACATTAAACTCATACAGTGATACACACAAATTCAACATGGTTAATGGATGACAGTATCCAGAAAGTAGAAAAGTGTACGCGCTGTCTCTTTTCAAGTTCAACTAGAGCTCTTAGTTCTTCTCATTTGACAAAATCCCAAAAATTATTTGTGTAGTGATAGATGTTACCTTAAATTTAATAGACTCCTAAGTGCATTTGCTAGCATCAAAATATAAGTCATGTTTCAAAAGATATCTCAAGTTGGACCTCTTTAGCCCCAGACAATTAAATCAGGCTGATAGTTGCCCAGTGGGTGAATATAAACAACTGAGGAGGAGGCCCTGAGTCAGCTATCTTTTATAAATTACCCCAGTTCTTCTCTTAGTTAGCATTATCTCACCATAAACACAGGGGGAACTAGTGATTACAAAATGAACCTTGTATCTGCACTGGCCTGGATAGCTTACTGGAGACATAGAAGTCAGACAGTTCGTGATTTTAACAAAAATTAATTGAACACCCACCACAACTGAGGCACTATGCTAGAGGATAAGTCAGCAAAATAATGAGTGGATGTAGCTGCTTATTCTTAATGATTTACATGCCATGTTATAAACGAGCAGTCTTGTATAACAGGTGAACTACAGTGCATTCAGGGTACAATGGAACAAGGAAGAGAACAACCAGACCCAGCTAGAGAGGGCACGCGTTCAATGGATACACCTAGGAAGCAGAATGAACAAAAGTATAGAAACAGAAAACCAGCCTAATAGAATGAGGTATTTCAAGGAAATCAGCAAACAGCTTTAAAATAGCAGAACACAAATTATGAGAGGTAAGACAAAAGAGGCAGATGGAGTTACCTATCTCTACATTAGGGGAATACAAAACAAATATTAAGAAATAATTAGTGTTTAGCTAGATCATTCTGACAGCAATGTGACAATTCACTGGGGTGGGAAGATGGTGGGTAAAATGGTTGACAAAGATGATAGATTATGAAAACTTGAATTAAGGAAACAGTCCAATGGAGGTGGAATGGTAGGAATAAATGTTTTAAGTAGTAGAGAGACTAACAGAATTAATGGAGCTCAATCACCAGCAACTCAGTAAGGGTCAGGGACTGGGCACAGGAGACCAGTGGAAGAAAAGTAGGGTGGAGAACAACATCTTGGTGGGGTGATAGGTAGATAACGGTTGCTACTCACTGAGAAGAAGCAGAGGTTTATGGAGGAAGAAAAGTATGTTCTATTTTGGACCTATTCTGTCTGTGATGCCTATGAAATAGCTGGTTCTGATATACAGGAAAGTATAATCAGAAATGCTAAAAAGATTGTAGGCAGGGAGGATATAAATGTATAGATCAAGGGTATCACAATTAACAGAGCAGGACATGGTTAAGATTACTCAGAGAAAGTAAATAAAAAAAAAAAAATCAACATCAAAAGCACCCTGAGGGATACACCAATTATTTAAGGGGCAGAGAATTCCACAGGAGGCTGAGACTGAGCAGTCATAAAGAGAGAAGCAGAACCTAGAGAATGATGTCACGGAAACCAGGGGAGCAGAGTTTAAAGGGTAGGGTGAACATCGTTAACAGATAACCATTGGTGTAATTAGGTAAGGATTCAAATGAATCCACTGACATTTGCTGGCTGGTCAAATTTTCACAAATGCTGAATTACAAGGTAAGGATTCTGGTGTTAAACTTTAAAGATGGGAAGAAGTATACATTGGGAGGGGAATGTGGCAAGGCTCTCAAATCTCCCTTTTTTATATTAGAATGGTTCTCTTATGCTATTACTGAAAAATTTAACAAATGTTATATAGGATAGTATAAATGTAGGTTACAAAATAATTGAAGAGGTTACCAGCTCTAAAATAGTGAAGAAAATGAGTCATTTATGTGTGAGTTTTTGCTTCTTGCTCCACAAGATCACAACTAACTAAACCATCCCCATGCTCACTGGGCAAACTTCTACTCTCCCTTTAAGATTTAAGTCAAACAACAGCTACTCCATGATGACTGAACAGTCCTTCCCAGGTCAATTTAGTTATTTTTTTCCCTTAGTATTCTAATGTTTTCTGTCCATAACTCAATTATATATCATATCAAAATGCTCTAATAATTTGGTTAGTATGTGGTCAAGGGCTGTGTCCAGTGTATGTGAATTATCAATACCTTAGTGCCTGGACAACAGAGGAACTGTATAAATGTTTACTGAAAGGGTGAATATATTTCAGCATTAAGTTTTTTTTTTTGCACACTCACACTCATTTGTATACCTACAGCTACATCTATGTGGAAGGGGAAATTCTACTGACACTGCCGAGCACAGTTGCATGTTTCATTAACAAGTGATATTTTTTTGAGTATAAACATTATTTGGTTTGCCAAAAGAACTATTATGATGCAAAATAATGAAACTTTTTGATGAAAGTGGAAATAAAACTAGTTGTCATTCCAATCCCTTAATAACCAATTATTAGGCAGGTAACTCAATACACCATTTGGCTTATGGTCTTAAGCCATTCATGTATCCTTATTGAAGGATATATCTTCTCTATTAAAGAGACCAATATGTCAATATTCTAATAATTTAGAACTACATGCAGAGATAAGGGTTTATAAAAGTAGCATAGGCAGGAAACGAAACTAGGATATTCCTGTCACAGCTCTAACAATTATGTGTGCAGGAAGGGAGAATTGAGACAGATGGGTGGGTGTCACATTGAAGGGGACAAAACAAGCAGATATGACAAGGATCTATAATCCATAGAAGTGGCTCATCTGACAGCACTGGCACTTATGTTAAACAATTAACAAAGGACATATACTGCAGAGGAAGGCTAGTGAACATTTTCTCTGATACAGTTTACCAGAAGGACAGGTAGCTGGGTCATTAATTTATACAACTACCACATGCAAGTAAAAAGACTCATTACTTTTGGAAACATAATCAGAAAATCACACCTAATTGACGACCATTCCAGTCATGCATTAAGATTCAGCATAGGAAACATTTCCTAGCCCACTAAACCACAGACCTGTAGGCATTTCTGCCAAGTGGCAGCCCATGACTATGACCTGATGACTTCTGTAAATATAATGAGGTAAGTTCTAGCAATGAAGTAATAACAGGTATTCACAGACTCACAGATTGATTCAGAGATTTATAAATCTAAGCAGAAATGGAGATTTGAAAAATAAGGAAAAAGCAAGTCAGAAGTTCCCAATTCATGAGGACAGGTTTCTGATTGTTAAGCAATAAGGTAAGGACATGTCATGAGCCACTTACATCTGATTCCCAGCAGTAATGAAAGATTAGGCTCCTTGCCCTGAGCACGTTGATTAAGAATACTGCATAATGCTTTCAAGTCAAACAAACAATAGGACATTTCCTTGAACAGCTGATCAATCACACTCAAATCAAATAGAGGCCGTTTGGAAAGAAATGCCTGCTGCCTGGACTGGTCTGCTTCCTGGCCCTGATCCAATAAAGCGCATGTTTCTTCCGCCTGTCTTTGGTTCTGCAAAAGATAAAGAAGACAAAAATAAGTGGTTTGAACAGGTAATAGGTACTCAAAACCATATAGGTTAACATTTCCCCCTCAAGTCTACAAAACAGAACAGTGGAGTCATATACATTTAGCCAAATTTAACTGCATAAACAAAAAAGAAAGAAGTAAATAGTGGAAATGGCTCCTCTGTGCCAAGCCACATCCCCTAGGGTAAACCTAATAAAGAAAATATAAATGCAAAGACCTAGATCATAGGGTCTCTCATGCTGTTACATAATGAGCATCAGGGTTGTCTATGTGTCTTTCTATAATAAGATTTATTCTAAGAACATAAAAACTGCAAAGGAACTTTAAACCTCATCCTATAGCTTTATTATTAGTAGCAACAGTGACTTACATGGAAACTATTTTTTGTATCTTAAGGGAAAGAAAGTATTATGGTATACTAATAATGCTGATAAGAACCCAAATTTTTAGTACAAGACTAAAAAAACACAAATATAAAATCAAAGAAGGGAAAAAAAACCCAAACAAGTCTGAATTGTTAAATTTGAAGTGGAAGTATCAATATGGACTCATAATTTATTACACTCTGAAAAAGCTACTTTCACACATCTTCCTCCAAACTGTCACCATCTACTTCTCATCCTGAAAGTTGCTAATTAAAGGTAAGTTTAATTAGCTTTCCAGTTGGAACTGTATTTCAGAATAACCAATTTTCCTGGGCCAATGAAGAAAGATTTTTTTTAATAGATGAATGCCAGCTAATAAATGCAGTAGGAATGATACAATTAGAAGATGACTCAGAAAATGATCATTAGTGGATACTAAAACTACGGGAAGGAAAAGGGTGCGCACACCATGCTTACTCACACAGTCACCCAGGTTATCATCCCAGAGGCTACTTGCTGTATGCAGAGGCTATAATGTTACAGTGGAAAGAACCAGTCTGTTACTACCTTAAAAAGGGGAAATCAGTATTTCTGTCACTTAACAGTGGGATAACCAAACATATAATTTGAAGATGCGCACAATACCTTAACACGGTAATCATATCAAAATGTATTTCACCTGAATCTAGGACTGTTACAGAGCAACCCCGATATAAAACGGGTTGCCTGGCTGTGGGTCCTCACCAGCGCGCTTAAAAGGGACTTATTAATATTCCACTACAGGCACACACAAAAGGATAATAAAAGGTTTATTTACAAGGGAAAGGGAAATGAGGAAATGTACAACTCAGGGAGAAAATAGGGAAATAAAGTCTTTAATGCGTCCTACCCAATCCGCCGACCTGGAAACCCAAAGGCACTCCGAGAGCTGGCCGAGCTGCGAGCTGGCGGAGAGCCAAAAAGGGCACCTCCCAAAGCCCACGTGCCCAGGTTTTATACCAAACCTGTCTGCTTAACCTCACCCTGAGGTTCCAGCAACCTTCCCTTTGGTGGTGATGGGATTTGTCTTTCCCAATGTCCTGATGGCTTTGGTCTGGAGTGGGGGTGGAGTCCACAAAGCCTGTATGGAATTAGCTTTAGGACATCCTTTTTCCCCTAACAATTCTAACTTCTGGGGTACAAGAAATAGAAGGTGTAGAGAACAAGATAAATTACACCATTAGGAAGTAATCACGTACGTCTAGCAGGCCTGACAATCTTCAAGTGTATATAAAATAGCCCAGTTTCTTCAAGTCAGTTAACATGGGAGAAGAATATAGTCATATTCTTAGATTTATAAGACAAAATGAAATGTAACTTACAATTCTTGATTGAAAGCTGGTTTCAACAGTCATAATAAAAAACATCTGGAGAAGTAGGGAACTTTTAATATAGAGTAGGTATTATCATGTCAAAAATTATTATTTTTGTTGGTGTGACAATGGTGGTGTGGTTACACAGGAAAATGCCCCTAACTTTTAGAGAAGCATTCATAAGAATTCAAAGACAAGCTGTCACAATGCGAGTTAATAAATTATTTTTTTGAGTAACATGTCCTTAATTGCAAGTGTTTCATCTGATAATTAAATGAAGAAAGTGTGATTTGTTCCATGATGAAAAGTCAACGCTGCACCTTCCTTAGGAGTTTTCAAGGAGTTTTTAAAAAATATATTCCAGTTATGCCTTATTCAATGACTCTGGGACCTAATTACATTTGACTTTGCTGTAGCTGCCTATGAAACTGTATGCTAAGACATAAGAAAGATGGAAGTTTGTCTCTTTATTATAATTTTAGTTAGGAAATGTAATGGATTTCATTCACTGGCACATCAAAATTGTCTTCAATTTAAAAAAGTGCTAGTAATATGTACAAAGTAAGCATTTGCTTAAACTTAATTCTGTGAAAGTAATCTGAGTTTCTGCTACTCACATCCAGCAATGTTTTTGTTAATCTCTGTAGATTTCTTTCTTTCTTTTCCATATCTTCCATCATCTTTTGAGTGGTTGATTTTTCTTTAGAAAGTTTCCCTTGCATAGACTAGAACAAAGAGCATAGGAAATACAAAGCATGACATCACTTAAAATGCAATCAGTAGGTAAGCAAGAACACTGAATACTTTAGATCTTCTATCTCCACCCGCCCCCGCCGTCCCTTTGAAGATGAAGCCTTCATCTATAAATCAACCCACATTACTTCTAGAGTGGATGACAACAAATGAAAAAATACATCATCTTCAACAAGAAATTTTTTATCTGGGTAAAACATATTAACTCCTAAGTCGCTGTTTAACGCTATCTTCTACACGGTTCTTTATTATTTAACTGTTTATATATTTGGAGTGTGTTAGCAAATGGCTTTAAGGAGGAATGATATGACATTTAAAGAATTAACACCAATTCTTTATTACATTTATAAGAAATACTTAGAATACAAAAATCTATCAAGATAGGAAATATATTAGTTATTGCCTATGACTGGAGAGGGGATGAGATTTAAGGAAGTAATAATTAAACGGTACTTATGTCTTTCCTTAAACTTATTTTACATTTATTTTTTTTTTTTGCACATCGTTGCTCATTTTTGTATGTTTGATTTCTTCCCTCAGGTGTAATCCCCATAAAATTCCCACCACAAAAGCACCCTTGAACTGCCACCATAGTCTCTTGTGCTCTTCCTTCCCTTTTCTTGAACCCTCTCCCTCTGCTGCGGTATGTCTCAGTTCTATAGTATACCTGCTAGCTTGGTTTTTTTCCCCCCTGACCCCTTGTTTGGCTTCCCTATATTTCTCCTATAAGTGGAACCATCCGATCTTAACGTCTTTTATGAAGTGATAAAAATGTTCTAAAGTTGGTTGTGGTCTTGGTGTTCCATACCCATGAGTATACTAAAAATTATTGAACTTTGCACCTTAAATGGGTTAACTGTATGGTATGTGAATTATATTTCAATAAAACTGTTATAAATCTTCAGCACAATATAAAAGGAAAAAAATCTTGCCTGGATCACTTTCTTCCAGTCCTATTTTGGTAGCAAGAACTACCAAAAAGTATAACTGTGTCCAAGAACACACTCAGGTGATGCAAAATTAAACCATTATTTAAATTTACTTAAATTTCAGTCTTCTCATGCAGAATTGAGGCTACCAGAGGGGAAGATGAGGATGATAAAGCAGAAGGAGAGGTGAGCCAACAAATTACAGTGGAAGATTATTGATGCTTTGGTGGCAGGCATGGTGTGGTAACATCTGAAAAGGTGAAATCCTATACTAAGGCATGTACAATGCTGTAAACCAAAGTTACCTCAACAAAAATGACATAATTTAAAAAAATTCAGTCTTCACAATCAATTCCCACTTTAGATCCAATAAGCAAGAAGTCTGTTACACTTTATAAAGGCTCTAGGATTAGGATTATTGTCAGGCTATATATGAGTTGCCTGGGGAACCTGTTAATAATACATGTTTCAAGCTTTACCCAGGAGATACTGACTCATTAGGTTCATGATGGGCCCCAGAAACCTGTATTTCACTTTTATTTTTTGTTTATTAAATCTATTTATTTTCTTGCATCACTGTTAATTTTTGGACAATATTTGACTTCACCCCTCAGGTACAGTCCTCATAGCTCTCCCACCACCAGAGCCCCCATGATCCATCACCATAATCCCTTGTGCTCTTCCCTCCCGTTTTGACCCCTCTTTCTCCCCTCCCCTGTTGTATGCCTCAGATCTATGGTCAGCTTAGTCTTTTTCTGACCTTTTGTTCAGTTTCTCTGTATTCCACATATAAGTGAAATTATCTGATATTTATCTTTTTCCTTCTGACTTATTCCGTTTAGCATAATCCCTTCCAGCTCCATCCATGTGCTGCAAATGGCATGAGTTTATCTTTTTTGATCACTAAGTAGTATTCCATTGTGTATATATACTGTATCTTCTTGATCCATTCATTCTTTTTTTGTCATTTAAGTTGTTTCCATATCTTAGTTATTATAGTAGTGCTGCAATAAAGCACTAATTCAAAAAGAAACTTGCATGCCTATGTTTTAGGCAGAAACCTGTTTTTAAAAAGCATCTCAAATAATGAGAATATAAACACAGGTTTGGAGACCACTCCTACCACATATAAGGCCCAAGAACATTTTTTCCGTGATTCATGTGTGCTGATTCCCTTCTGGCTACTCCCTGCCTAAGAAATATGGACCTGATTTTTCAAAAGTTAAATCCATCTTTTTTTCTCAAGGTTTAATTAAATTTAATTATCAATTATAATGTGCCCACAACAGGCCTAATGTATCATGTTCTCCATACAAGTAAAAAGATCGAAGCATTTTTAAAAATTAATCTTTGATACCACTGTGATCCTAGAAGATGGGTGATAGGACTTCAGTCTTCATGAATTTATGAAGGTTTATTTTGTGATCCACCTTGTGGTCTATCCTCCAGAATATACCATGTGCAATTTAGAAGAATGTGCACTCAGTTGTCTTGAGGTGTAGTGCCCTGTAAATATATATTAAACCCGTCCAGTCTAATTCTTATTTAAGACTCCCTGGGTGTGGCATCCCTTTCAGTAACGAAGCAAAGAGCCTTCTCTGTTGCCATCTTGGGGACATCTTTCCAGAATATGACTCTTTAACTAAATAAATATGATTTGATTCAGTGTTTTTCCCACTATTACTGTGTGATGTTTATCTCCTATTTTATGTTATCATAAAGTTCTTTCTTCCTCAAGTTTAATTTTTAAAAATGTTTTACTTATGCAAAGTTGCATTATAATTCATGAAAACTAAAAATATTGTTCAGATGTTAATACTAAATTCTTAAATAGAAAGCAGTCAAAAAGTGTCTGCTATCAAGGAAAAAATACTTTCTCAATAAATAAGCTTTTTCTTTGGTCTTTTTACTTGTGAAAAATAGTGCTTTTATATTCTTAGGTAGAAACCTAAAAGTCAAATTGCTGATCATGTGGCAGATCCATTTTAAGTACTTTGCGGAACCTCCACACTGCTTTTCACAGTGGCTGGATCTGTCTGTCTGCTCACCAACAGTGTGGGAGGGTTCCCTTTTCTCCACACCCTCACCAGCACTTGTTTCTTGCCTCTAAGTCACTTCATATGGCCAAAGAAAAGACTGTCTATAATTCTGATACATAAAACTTTTTATTTCTCTTTTACTTCAATTTTTATTTTATCAGGAAGTGGGAAAATAAAAATTATTTAGCAAAATTTATTCAGTGGCATTCCATCATACTTTGAGTAAAATAAAAAAGATATACACCCCTATGCGATCTGGTGCCAGGCTACTTTCTGCCATCACTTTTCACCACTCTACCCCACAGTGCTTTATTCCAGATTAGCAGCCTCCTTTCTTGGAGCATAGCAGATAAATTCAGAACATTGGTTGCTCTCTTTGCCTGAAAGGCTCATCCCCTGGATATATCTTCATTCAGGTCTGTGATCAAATATTACCATCTTAGGGAAAACATATGATGGAGAACTGTCTGCCATTTCCTTCTTTCTACTTTTTAACTGCACATATCACTAATATTATATTTCAGTTTTCTCCATCTCACCCATCTAGAGTGGCCAGAAACTTGTTTTATTTACAATGCCAATAACATTTAGAAGAAAAAAGTGATAACGGAGATGGTGATGTTACGTAGTATCAATGGAGGCATAAAGGAGGGGACAGAGAAACTTATATGATACCAATATTTAAAGAGGCAGAAATCAGAGCTCACAGTAGAACTCTGAAGAGAAGGAACATAAGATGGACAGTGGTAGTGTGAATGTGTTTCTAGGTGGGAATAAAATATAAAGATCAAATAAGTAGCCTAAAAAGAGTTCACTTTCTTCAATTAGTAGATCATTGACACCCAATTAAAAAGAGGAGAGGGTAGAAATAGAGAAAAGCAGTCCTCACAATATTTTAAAGAAACGTTTGCCAAATGGCATTTTTGTTACAAAAAATGGAAAGATTAATAGTAAAGAATTTACAATTTCACTGTAAACTCTTAATCCTCTCTCTCTCTCTCTCTCTCACACACACACACACACACACACACACACACACACAGAGAGTAATATTTTAGGTGATGTAATCATCAGGAGTAAATCAGTACAGAGATAAACTAAAATAAGCACAAAAACATTCCTCACCTGAATTTCTAAAATCATTCTGTCAATCTCATCTTGTTGGCTGTCTATTATCTAAAATAGAGAAAACAAATCATTGTGAATTTTTTTTTCTGTAAGTACCAATATTCAAGAAAGCAAAAGACATGGAATTATGAATTTATCTTCTAAAAAATCATGGTATGATTATTTTTACAGACGTATTCATTCCAAAGTATATTTTTAAAAGCATTATGTTTGTTTGTTTTTTTTTAACATATTTATGTTTTTATATTGTTGTTCATTTTGGTACATGTCTAATTTTCCCCCTCAAGTGTAGTTTCTACAAAATTCACACCACATCACCCATTAACTGTCACCATAGTCTCTTGTGCTCTTCCCTCCCGTTTTGACCCCTCTCCCTCCTCCTCCCCTGCTGTATGTCTCTGATTTATAGTTTGCCTGCTAGTTTTGTCTTTTTTTTTTCCTGACTCCTTGTTTGGTTTCCCTATATTCCTCCTATAAGTCAAACCATCCTATATGTTTTTTTCCTTCTGACTCATTTCACTGAGCATAATGCCTTCCAGCTCCATCCATGTTGCTGCAAATGGCATGAATTTATCTTTTTTGATTGCTGAATTATGTATATATACCACATCTTGATCCAGGCGTCTGTTTTTGGAGCATTCAAGTTGTTTCCATATCTTATCTTAGCTATTGTAAATAGTGCTGCAATGAACACTGGAGTGCAAGTATTCTTTTGAATTCATGATTTTGTGTTCTTTGGGTAGATTCCTAGGAGTGGAATTGCTGGGTCATACGATAGCTCCATTTTTAGTAGTTTGAGGAACCTTCACACAGCTTTCCATAGTGGTTGGATCAGTTTGCATTCCCATAAGCAGTATAAGAGGGTTCCTTTTTCTACACATCCTTGCCAGCATTTGTTCTTGCTAGCTTTTTGGTTTTTGTTTTTTTTTTAATATGGACCATTCTCACTGACATGAGATGGTATCTTATTGTGGTTTTTATTTGCATTACAGGTGATGATTATAGGTGATGTTGAGCATTTTTTCAAATACCTGTTGGACATTCGCATTTCATCTTTGGAGAAGAGTCATTTTTGTAGTATAGTTTGAATTCTCAGAGTGTGATACCTTTATTCTCCCTCTTTTTTAGTCAGGAGAGCTTTGGCTCTTTGAAGGTTTTTGTGATTCCATATGAATTTCAGCAATATTTGTTCTGTGTCTTTGAAGAATGCCATTGAGATTTTTTATCAAAATTGCATTGAATATGTAAATTCAATGTATATGGTCATTTTTATAATGTTAATTCTTTCAATTCATGAGCAGGGAATGTCTTTCCATTTCTTTGTGTCTTCTATTTCTTTTAGCAATGTTTTATAATTTTCTTTGTATAGGTCTTTCATCTACTTTTTTAGGTTTATTCCCAGGTATTTAATTTTGGGGGGGTACAACTGTAAATGGGATAATTTTTTAAATTTATTCTTCTACAGACTGTCTGGAGGAAGGCTACTGATTTTTGTATGCTGATTTTGTAACCTGATACTTTTCTAAACTAGTTTATTGTTTTAATTAGTTTTCCTGTAGAGTTTTTAGGATTCTCTATGTATATTATCATATCAACTGCAAATAGTGATAGTTTTACTTCTTTCCCTATTTGGATTCCTTGTACGTCTTTTTCTTGTCTTAATGCTCTGGCCAGGACTTCCAGTATTTTACTGAAAAACAGTGGTGAGACTGGACCTTGTCCAGATCTTATAGGGAAGGTTTTCATGACTTGTCCCAGATCTTATAGGGAAGGTTTTCATGTTTTCATTGTTGAGAATGATATTGACTGTGAGTCTGACTGTGTATGGCTGTTATTATGTTAAGATATGTTCCTTCTGTCCCAAGAATTTTAAGGGCTTACGTTAAAAATGGTGTTGAATTTTATCAACTGCTTTCTCAGCATCTAATGATATGATCATGTGGCTTTTATTTTCTTTTTGCTGATGTGAATTACATTAATAGATTTACAGATGTTGAAAAAGGCATTATGATTGGATCACACATATGTAAAACTGCAAATCATGCTATAGTTTTTGATAAAACTTCCAATTTATGCAATTTATAATAAAAACTTTGAAACAGACTTTGAATGACTTAAGAAGGAAAAGTAGCCTTTTATTTTTGCTATGAAGGTCTATAATTTCCTTAGTTTGGCTTTTATTAAATCTTAAAATTTTTGAATTTTCTTATATTGCTATGTTTCTTTCTAAATAGAGGCATTCAAAACTAAAACATTAGCAAAAACAAATAAAATACACATCTGTACAGACAAATCCATAGTATAGTTTCATATTTATTATCAAAGATATGTACTGACCTTACTAGCTTTTTCATTTTGTTCTCTCAGGTTATCATTTTCATTCTGAAGCTGTTTTGCATCTAACATGGGAAGGCGGATTCCATCTTCAAGGCATCTTTCTACTTTTTGCTGCAAACTGATTTAGAAAAACATAGGAAGAAAATTAGCTCTATGTGCTGATTTTGGCAGATGACAGCAACAAAAATTAAATTCTTCCTCAAAGTATGTAATTTTTTTTAATAATGCCACAGACAGTTTATGTATAAGTTTGAGTAACTTTATATTCTTATCATATTAAGAAAAAATAGGAAGGCTGATCATCTTTTTTAAAATGTTAAATCTGAGACTAGATTCTTGGGTTACTTAGTATGTGACATCCTTAGGCCCTAGTGAAGTCCCTCATTACCCTAATCTAAGCCTATAATCTAAGCCCTCTCTTTTCCTTTCCCCCAAAAGCAAGTTCCTTGATAAAGATGATTACGGTAAAGAGCCTAAGATTTTCCTTATAAGGTAAATTGTTGCCTAAACCAACAGAATTACATTTTTCCTCATTAATAAAAATAGTAATGTAATACATTAATTAACAGTTTTTCCTGCTATGCAATGCACACAGTTACACTGTAGAAGAGGAAACAATGAGGGAAACTTCTATGCTACATCAAGAAAAAATAAAAAGATGGAGGAGGGCAGCAGAGAAAGGTTTTAGCCCCCAGAAAAGAAGAATAGCAACATAACAGACATAGCAGGAAAACCCGTAAAAGTGGGCCTCCCTGGTGGCACAGTGGTTGAGCGCTGGGCTGTGAAGCTGCCTGCAGCCTCTGCAGCGCTGGTTCAATCCCCGGCCACCGAGGGTCCCACATGGCATGCAGACCTCTCCTGCCACCCGTTGCTCCCCTCAGCAGTGTATTTCATCAGTCTGCCTGTAATAGTTCTGTTCTCCACTCTGGCTCTGGTGAATTCTCTCACCCTCCCGTGCTTCTGACTGTACCCAGTGCTTGTATGAATGAATAAATTAAAAAAAAAAAGACCCATAAAAGTAGCTCTACTTTAGCTTATAATCATACCACAGAGCTGCACAGTACTAAAAGAAACAGATTTCTTATAATTAAGGTTTTGATTTTTTCATTATTTTTCTTCAAGTAGTATGGCTAGCCCATTCTTGTTAATTCTTCCCCCACCAAAAAAAATTCCGTATCTACATTGTGAACAAAGAATTGACAACCCTAAATGGTACAATATAGATTTCAGGTGTGTTAATGGCACCAGAGAGGTTCTTAAGTATAATGAATGTAGTGCAATGCTTTGTAATACATTGTTACTTGTCACAAAAGTATTTGCTTTTTCAATCTAGAAGTGAAAAATACATTATTTCTATTTCAGAATAAGATTTTTTCCAATTTCAGTGTAAAGACATTCTTCTATGTATTTGTAACATTCCAAAAGAAATAAAATACATTAAAACTATTTAGGTCATTCATACTTAGAGGGTGTGGGGAAAGCCATCTGAAGAAGGAAAATGTACTCTATCATGGAAAACTATTAAATAAGTTTTATTACAATGTATACATTCTCATTGTTTATGGTATGAAGCATAGTCACTCAGAAAAGTAATAAATCTTTTGAATAGCAGAGGTACCTACAATTACATTACTAGGGATCCACCCACACATTTTTCTTACATTTTCATTGCTAATAAAAAGCCTGTCTCATTTTTAAATCATGAAAGTTATACATAATAGCAGAAAACATAATAAAGCAGAAAGTTATACACAATAAAGCAGAAAATACATGTAAGCAGATACAGTGACATAATTCATATTCACATGCATATCCGAAATTATTTCAGAACTTAAGGAATATATTGTAAAGCTAAGGAAACTGAAGTAACACCCCTATTCCCAAAAGTTAAATGGCACTACAGCCATGTGTTTACTACAATATTATAGAAGAGTTTCTTTGGACTATTACAGATACTTGAAATCAAGAGAAATTTTCTAAGCTATCATTCTTAGAGACTTATCAAGTTAAAGTTAAGAAATGGAAAACGGTGTTAAAATGCAATATACTAAACTTTTTAAATCAATATTACTAGGCTTAATGTTCACCAACAATCTAATAAAAGAGAAAATCTAAACAAGAGATGGCATAAAATATCATATTAAATATATGAAACAACACTATTTGAGTTCATGATCATGATGTCCTAAAAAAAAGAAAAGATACATTACCTCCTTTCATTTTATCAATAAAAGAAAATATAAGGTTGAATGAGTAGAGGTCAGGAAGCTGTTCTGAAACTACAGAATAGGATGTAAGATGTGAAGTTATAAAAAAAAAAAGAAATTAAAAGAGCTGAAAAGTAGAAAATAGGGAGAAAAATAGAATCAAAAGTATATGATTTTGGGGGGACCTGAGATCAGAAACCCTATAAACGGAATTGTTTCAGAAATCAGAGATTTTCTGCAATGAAATTCAGTGTCAAAAAGGTTGTTCAGACATGTTTAAGACTTTCAAAGTTGTAAAGGAATTAACATAGAATTAGCAAGTGGATGTTGGTTAAAAAGCTGTAAAGAATAAACTGAATTTTACATAATTGATAAAACTATAGAGTGAATTTCTTAAATTTAGTTTTTGTTGCTTTGTTGTCATTCTTCAGGATAATTTTATCAATTTTATTTCAAAATTAAATAAGGTTTAAGTTTTACAAAAGAGAGTGCATGTAAGTGCATATAGAATACAGTTTTCTTCAGTAAGTTTTCCAGGAGTACAATTTCAATTTCCTATCTTAAAAATATTATCTAAATACGCTAATAAAATGATATCCACTCTAATTATTAATTTCAAAGAAGAGTTCAAAAGGCAATGAGCTTAAACTTGGAAGTGAGTAATGTGAGTAAACTTGGAAGATATTTGGCAAAATTACCTTAACTGCTACTCTGCAGTCAAGTGAATCAATTACTTCACATTAGCAGTATCTTCTTAAAGAGTACAATTTGAGTGTTTTGGTGCCCCTCTTTTATTATTTAGAATTTTTACTTATTTTTAGACAAAGTCATCAATAAAAAGTTTGTGTTATAACTTTATCAAAATGTCACTATGTTGCATCAAAATGTTAACAGAACTGTTTCAGTAAGATACTTCTGGGTCATAATAATGCATCAAGAAGTAAAGACAGGGACAGGGGGAGGAGGAGGATGCTAATTATAAATTAACATTTTAAGTGAAATGCCTTATGAAAAATATGAATAGCTTAAAAATAAAAGAATTAACAAAGGTTTTCTTACCTCTGAACTGTAGTTACCAATTCCTTTTCTTTCTTTTTCTGACATATTAGCTGTGCCTCTTTCTCTTTACACTGTTTTTTGATCTCTTCAAGTTTTTCTTCCATATCTGTTAACGTTTCTTGCAAATTCTTATTTTTTCCTTCTAGAACCTGCAGCTATGGAGAAATTTTTAACATGGAATACTAAAAAGGTTTTTTTTTATTTTTATATTCCCCATACAATTGCAACCCCTTGATTTAAAAGATTTTTACTAGAATTTGTTACTGTGTTCTCAAGGACTAATAGACTTATGGTTAAGAGCCACATATCTTCATCCCATCTAGTCTACTCTAGTAAAACTATCCCCGCCTTTGTGTGGAAGAAAGCTTCGAATGGAGAAAAGAATGAGATCAAAACTTCTAGAAAGGTAAATGATCTCAATCTGGGGATATTTTAAGAGTTATTTTTCATTGGGATAAAATATCACATAAAATTTACCATCTTAAAGTGTACAGTTAGTTCAGTAGTGTTAAGTACATTCACACTGCTGTAGAAGTAATCACTAGAACGCTGTTTATGTTGCAAAACTCTATACCCTTGACAAAACCCCGATTGTCTCTATGAATTTGACTACTGCAGGTTCCTATAAAGCTGGAGTCTATGCTACTTACCTTTTGCGCCTGACTTCACTTAGCAAAATATCCTCTGGTTCATCCATGTTGTGGTATGTGTCATAATTCCCTTCATTTTTGAGCCTGAATTTTAAGTATATGCTACATTTTGTTTACCCATCACTCACTGATAGACACTCAGTTGCCTCCATCTTTTGGCTATGCAAATACTGCTGTTATGAGCCTGCATGACGTGCAAATGCCTGTTAAACACCTGTTTTGAATTCGTTGGGTATATGCTTGGAAGTGGACCATATATGGTAAATCTGTTTTTAACTTTTTGAGAAATTGTGGTATTTTTTCCACAGTGGCTACACTATTTTATACATTCCCCACGTAAAATGTACAAAAGCTCTAATTTCTACACATTGCCACTAATGCAAACCACATGGGGCTTTTTTTAATATTAGCCATCCTAATGGGTCTAATGAACATGTTTTTAAATCGATATTCCCCTATGTTCCTGCTCATATGCCTATCATCCTTCTTTAGTTCCTTGCTGAATTTACCCCTTTAGTTTTTTGCCATATAGATTAACATAAAGAGAGTATGCATTGTAGATTCAGCATCTGCATGATACCCTGTGAATTAACCATAATTCTCAATTGAAGTGAGTGATTTTTTTCCTATCCCCTGTAAACATTTTTTGGCTGGGGGGGGGGAGGTGCAGAGGGGAAGGGAGTAGTGCTAAGAGTGCCTACAAGGCAGGACTAAAATGCTACTAAGCATCTTTTTTTTTTTTTTTTAAAGATTTATTTATTTATTTATACAAGCACTGGGTACAGTCAGAAGCACAGGAGGGTGAGAGAATTCACCAGAGCCAGAGCAGAGAACAGAACAGGCAGACAGACGAAATACACTGCTGAGGGGAGCAGCAGGCGGCAGGAGAGGTCTGCACACCATGTGGGACCCTCGACAGCAGCCGGGGATTGAACTGGCGCTGCAGAGGCTGCGGACAGCTTCGCAACCCAGCATTCAACTGCTGCGCCACCGGGGAGGCCCTACTAAGCATCTTTTAATACACAGGGAAGAATTTCACAACAAACAATTTTTCACCCCCCATTGTCAATAACGCTAAGGTTAAAAAACCCCATGATTGGAAATTTTGAGAAAAGACTGAAGAGTAGATTCTGGATTTATAAATCAGGTTTCAAGAAAAATCTTGAAGAGAAGGAACCCGGTCTACCTACCAAATTGGCAGAAAGATTTCAGCTAAGGTATTGTTAAGCAAATGACTAGAAAGTCATCAGAGATGTGAATGGATATCACAGATTTAAGAATAAGAAAAAATTTATGGAAAGACCAAAAGGAATGAAAAAAAATCTAGAAATATCGTCAAAAGGTATTGCTGAACCTGAATGAATTCCATAGAATATAAAAATTCAGAAATGTGACATAATGTATTTGTGAGTATAGGGCAGGGTTATCAGACTAGTTTAGAAACTACATTTTAGAGCAGAAGACTAGGTGACAGAATTTAACACACAGGTTCATTATGAGGTAATCATATAATAATTAAAAATAAGAACAAAATTCCTAACTGAGGTTAATCCTAAAACAATACACTAATTTTTAACTTAAAATTAGTCAAACATGTAACAATTTTAAATTATAAAAATCACAAAACTTCTAAAGAGTGAACTTAAAAAATATTTTCAAGATGACCATTTTATTTCTTGTTACCTGTAGACTCTGACTCTGTACATCATCCAGAGTTGGAAGATCAGCCAGATACTTTTCCAAGGTCTCAATTCTTCTCTGCTTTTCTTTGTTTTGTTCGGATTCTTTCTGGCATTTCTTTTTCAGGCTGTTGATATATCTATCTCTGGTTTTAAGCTAAGAAAAAAGATTAGAAATCTTCAGTAGTTTTAAATCATTAAAAATAAGTCAACATTGGAATCTCAGGCATCAATGAAAACACCAACAGTTCCAGGTTATTAAGATCACCACCAACTCAAGTAAAATTTATCCTGTTAATATTTAACCCTAAGATCTATGTGTTTTCAAGTTTTCATACCACTGAAATCAACAATCAATTGAGAATTTTTGTTGCTTGTTATTATAACTGGTGGCATCTTATAAACTGCAGTGATCCAGCCATCACTAATTATGTAGTTTTTATTTCCTACATTTTTACACATGTACAAATTTGGTCAAAGCTGTTCATATTTTAGTCAATTCTACAGTGCTATGTACATGTTAAAATTATATCAAAGATTTTTAAATGTCATATTATAATGTGGCATTGCAAAAAGTTATTGGGTACCCAGAAAGATACAGAGTCACAGGGTATAATTTTGAAATCAGTGAAGCAAGTATTTATCTCTAGAGGAATGACTCTAATTTCTTACTTCTTGCACAGCTCTATCCAAATGTTTCACATCTGTAAAGAAAGATACCTATAAAATATTAAATGTTTTGTCATTAACATACTTGCAAAGCAACTGCTTGTGATTACAAGAAAATAAAAACCAGAATTTACCAAAATTATTTAATACTTAGGAATAGACAAATGAGACAAGACTACCATTAGAGCATTATGATATAACTGAACGTGCAAGCATATTTTCTTTCTAAAAATTACACAAAGGTATGCTTGCCCTAGATAGCATTTTAGGGTTGATGAACTACATTAACTGAATGCCTATTGTAGAATACATACAGTACACGATCCTACTAAGTTCCAGTTTGTATGGGCTGAAACTCAGATTTTTTTTTTTATACTCTTTTTTTTTTAACTTTTTGGAAGCCCTTTATTAATATTAATACAAAACGTTTACTTAGTCTTTATATGATTTATGTCAAGTACATATATTCCTATGTTCTACCAACAAAATATTTAAAAATGACTATTTAGTGAAGCCTCATGATGTCAAATGTTAAAACAAATTCATAGTTTAATTAAGACATATAACCAAATTAAATTTATCTCCTCCATTTATTCCTACTTTCTTCTTTCCCATACTGCCTTTTTCCCTTCATCCATTTCTATTCTCCATTTTTTGTTTGTCTTTTCTATCTCCAGTTGTCCCTCCCAACTAAGTTTTCTTGTAATTCCCAGCTTTTGTAATTGCTGGACATCACCATATAAATTTTAATGTATACTGCAAATGTTCTTAAACTTCCTATACATTCACTGCTAATTTTAATAGCTCTGCTTAATTTCAAACTCATTTGCTATTTTCTTTTTTTTTTTAATAATAAATTTTATTTTTATATTCCCCCATACAATTGCAAACGCCCCATTCTGACCCCAATCCTTCCCCTCCCGCCCCCCACCCCCCAAAAAGTGTCTCTGGTTCATAGTTTTTTGTTGATTTTGATTTTCACTTTCTTATATTCATTTTCCTGGTCCCTTATTTAAGTTTTCTAGATTCCTGCTATGAGTGAGACCATCCGGTATTTTTCTTTTTCTTTTTGGCTTATTTCGCTGAGCATGATCCCTTCCAGCGCCATCCATGTTGCTGCAAATTGCATGTGTTTATCTTTTTTGAATGCTGAGTAATATTCCATGGTATATATGTACCACATCTTCTTGATCCAGTCATCTATTTTTGGGCATTTGGGTTGTTTCCAAAGCTTAGCTATTGTAAACAGTGCTGCTATAAACATAGGGGTGCAGGTGCTCTTTGGAATTGATGTTTCTGTGTCCTTTGGGTAAATACCTAGGAGTGGAATTGCTGGATCATATGGAAGCTCTATGTTTAGTAGGTCCAGAAATCTCCACACAGCTCTCCATAGTGGTTGGACCAGTTTGCACTTCCACCAACAGTGCAGAAGAGTGAAACTCAGATTTTTACGTACTATTTTTTTTCAGCTTTCTACCTGAAATACACTATCTTTAAAATTCCTATCGGGGCCTCCACGGTGGTGCAGGGGTTAAAGACACAGCACTATCAAGATATTGCCAACCACTGCAACATGAGTTCGATCCAGCTAGGACGATAACCCACATGGTGCAGCAGACCTCTCCTGTCTCACCTGCTGCACCTTTGGCCTACAGCCCAGTTCTTGAATGCATAAATAAATAACTCTTTAAAAAACATAATTCCTATCATATATCCAATGGTCTTTCACACTTACTATTCAACTAAAAACCATGTATGCGCACAAATAGTTGCCTAGAAGTAAACTCAAGACCCCTATTTACTTTAAATTACTAGTCATCCAAATATTTAGCATTCATTTAAAACTTAGAGGTTCTAAAATATTTGTACAGCATTTCCCCATATTCACTGAGGAAAAAAGTGCTAATAATCAGCAGTATAAAGTATTACTCTTTCAAATTTTACTAAAGCTAACATTTGTCCACAATCTAGTTTCTTTCATGTCTTATCAAGTTTTTTTCAGATCCACCTTAAAACAACTTTTATTAAGACAATTTCAATTGGAAAACTGAATCGAATCTCACTTCATCTGTTCATTCCATCATAACATTATTATCCATTTAATACCTTGGGTAAGAAGCAACACTGGTGAAACAGACAAATCCTATTACGTACTGGGGCATTCCCAGGACTAAAGGCAAGTGTGCTGGTGTGACAATTTAACATCAAGATGGGATAAATCTAGACTACTAGTAGCTAGCACTGGTAGTTACCTGAAGTTTATATAATTCCCTTTTTAAATATTAAGCCCAGAGATCTTTAATGATAAATTACAAGTCACAGAGAAAAAGGCGGAATTTAAAATGTAAAATCATGTGACTGAAAGCAGTTTCAGTTCTTCTATACTCCTCATTTCAAGATTCCCTTAAGTGCTCTAGTGTTCTGTTGTGACTGAATTACCCTATTAACAAAGTCTGCTTTTGCATTAGCAAATGATCCTGTAAATTAAAGAAGAAAACGTAACTAATTAGTCCATTTTTTACTAAATGCTCCCTAATTTGCTCCCAAATATAGTTAATTGTTTAAATGTCTTAAATGTGAAACAGTGATGTTCTCATAAAGCAACTGCTGGTATAGGTTGTACAGCATCCACTGTACAATTAAATTGTCGTGAATTTTACTCCTAGTGTTTCAACAATTTCTATCAACATGCAACTGGACAAATTAACTCAAATTTTCCCCAATGATTTAGTTATTTCACTTTTTAAATGGGGTCATAATTTTATCTCATCTGATTTTTGTGAAGATTATGATTAAGTGAAAAAAATGCATTTAATGTACATTAACATGCAAAGATGTCCCAGTTCTTTTCTTTTTCTTTGGCTGGTCACTACTCTTTTTTGCTATCATGTCAAGTGTTAAAAATCAAACACAAATGCAGATCAGATTCGAAAATTCCCTGAACAGAAAAAACAAGTTTAGTCATACAAGCAAAGTTTAAGTCAGCTCATTTCACAAGATAAGCAAGGCTAACTGGACCTGGGTTACTTCTAACTATGCCTTAATAATCATAATCAACACTTAAATTTCCCCCCCAAACTGATGTAGCCACTATTAATTCCTGTTCATTTTTAAAGGCTAACACTGTAATCAATTACTGTTAAGAATAGTCACTAACTCTATCCACACCACAGAAGACACTTTATAATAATATACTTCCACACTTCATGCCATGTTCTAGTTTGAATGTTCCCAGTTAGCTGCCTTTTCAGTATCTGCAGCATAAATTTTTATAAATTAAGACATTAAATTAGTACATCAGCAATTTATTGATCTGCTACTTCTGAATTTTGACCAAGTTTGTGGGTCTTAATCACAAATCTCTGCAAATACCCTCCTACTATTAAATACCATCACTATTAGATACCATTCCTATTATTTGTTAACCCCAAGTTGAAACATAGGTTATTGAAGTCTGAACTCCAGGAATTACCTCCACTAATAAGGTATCACTAGTAACTATTTCCTATTCTAGCTATAAGAAGTTTTCTCTTTCAAGGAAGTATTATCCAATACTAAGATCATAAGGCAACAGAAGAGACTTTACAAACATGTTTTTCTTAATTTTAAATACAATGATTCAAACAAAATAGATTAATGAAGAAATATTTTCCTCTCTTTTTTTATATTAGTAGCGCCAAATCATCCACTGTACAACTAAACTGTCGTGAATTTTACTCCTAGTGTTTCAACAATTTCTATCAACATGCAACTGGACAAATTAACTCAACTTTTCCCCCAATGATTCAGTAATTTCACTTTTTAAATAGGGTCATAATTTTATCTCATCTGATTTTTGTGAAGATTATGATTAAGCGAAAAATGCATTTAATGTACATTAACATGTTGTCTGGCATATGCAAGAAAGAGCTCAAGGAGTAATTTCTATTGCTGTTATTACCACATTAAATGTTTTTCTGTCATAGAATCAGCCGATAAGGACTGCAAGAGTAAATGCAGAAGATAATAATGCAATGTAATCTCGTGTAGCCTGAAATGCATCATCATGAATCTACTTTCTACCTTCTATATTCCTTAAGGACTCAAGTTTACCAAGTATTGAAGTCATCTCCATTTCCTCTAACACAAATTCTCCTCTTTACATTCACCAAACTCTACAAGTTAACCGGGTACAGACATTTCCATTCTTAATTTCTCCACTCAAATTAAAATAGCCTTAAAACACAGACGTTTGTTGGGCCTCCCCAGTGGTGCAGCGGTTGAGCGCTGGGCTGTGAAGCTGCCTGCAGCCTCTGCAGCGCCGGTTGGATCCCCGGCTGCTCCCCAGCCACTGGAGGGTCCCACATGGCATGCAGACCTCTCCTGCCGCCCGCAGCTCCCCTCAGCAGTGTACTTCGGTCCTTCTGCCTGCTCTGCTCCCTGCTCTGGCTCTAGTGAGTTCTCTCGCCCTCCCGCACTTCTGACTGTACCCAGTGCTTGTATAAATAAATAAGTAAATCTTTAAAAAAAAAAAAAAGACATTCTAGAATTGTCTTTATTAAAAAAAAAAACCACAGACGCCTGTTATTCCTATTTTCTGAGAGCTAATTCTTGATGTTATCAACGTCTTCCTATTTTATTAAGGAACTTACCCAATCATGCACGTGCTCTAACATCCTTACTATTTATTCTCACCACAATCCTTTGGTGGAGTTACCTCACTTTTCTCTAGGCAAAACTCATTTGAACCATTTTTAATATTTTGAGAAACCTCCATATTGATTTCCATAGGGGCTAGATCAATCTACATTTCCATTAACAGTGCACAAGAGTACCTATTTCTCAGTACCCTCACTAATATTTGTTTTGATATGAGCCATTCTCACAGGTGTGAGGTAGTATCTCATTGTAGTTTTGATTTGTATTTCTCTAGGAATTGTTGATGAGCATTTTTTTTAAACAAGATTTATTTATTTATGCATATAAGAACTGGGGTAAAGGCCAGAGGTGGGGGGGGGGCAAGGTGGAAAGGTGGTGGTGAAAGGATTCACCAGAGACAGAGTTGGGAGCAGAACAAGTGGATCTACTAAGATACACTGCTGAGGGGAGCAGCAGTTGAGACAGGAGAAGTCTGCACCACCATGTGGGTTATCTCCTTGGCCAGGGATCAAAGTCATGCTGCAGTGGCTGGTGATAGCTTGTTAGTGCTGTGTCTTTAACCCCTGAGCCACCAGGGAGACCTGGATGAGCATTTTTGCTTGAGTCTATTTGGGCATATGAATGTCTTCTTTGGAGAAGTGTTTATTTAGCTCTTTTGTCATTTCTTGATTGGATAATGTTTTCTTTTTGCTGAGCTATATGAGTTCTTTTGAGATCTTGGATACTAACTAGCCTCTTGTTAGATGTATGAGGAACAAGTATTTTCTCCTAGTTCATAAGATATGGTTCTGTTTTGATGAAAGGTACATTTGCTTTTCAGAAACTTGTAGATTGATGTAGTGTCGTTTATTTTTGCTTTTGTTTCCTTTGCCATTGGAGTTGAGTCCCAAAATACATCCCTGAAGCCAGTGTCACAAAGTGTTATGCCCATGCTTTCTTTTATTTATTTTAGAGTTTCAGATCTTACATCCAAGTCTTTAATCCATTCTGGGTTAATTTTTGTATGTAGTGTAGTGTTTAGTTTCATTCTTTTGCATGTGACTGTCTAGTTTTACCAACACCATTCACTGAAGAGACTGTCACCTTTTCATTGTATACTATTGGTTCCTTCGTTGTAAACTGACTGTCCGTATGAGTGTGGGCTTATTTATGGACTATCAATCTGTAAGTTTCTTTTTATTCCAATACTGTACTGTTTTGAAGTTAAGTCAGGGAGGATGAATATCCTCATTCTTCTTTTTGTCAGGATTAATTTGGCTACTTGGGATCTTCCGTGGTTCTACATAAATTTAATTAAATTTTACGCTATTTCTCTGAAACTCTGATAGGGATAGAAATGACTAGGTATACTGCTTTAGCTAAGATAGCCATTTTACCAATGTTAATTCTTGTAAGTCATATGCTGGAAACAGCTTTCCATTTGTGTCTTCTTGTATTTCTTTAAGCAAAGTCTTACAACTTTTGTAGTACTGCAAGAGTAAATGCAGAAGACAACAATGCAATGTAATTGCATTACACCTCCTTAGTTAAGTTTACCCCTAAGTATTCAATTTTCTTGATGCAACTGTAAAACTCAAAATAGATATACTATATAGTACAGCAATTCCACTCCTATGTATCTACCTAAAGAATGTAAAAAAAAAAAAAACATTTCAAAGATATAAATGCACTATGTGCACTGTAACATTATTTAAAATAGCCAAGGTATAGAAACAATCTAAATGCCCAACAAAGCCTTATTCTTTTATTTGAGACATGAAAAGTTTGAGACACTTTTTAAACCCTCTATGGAGGAGCTAACAGAGAGACAGCTATAAAGTTAATCAAGCACTAAAGATCAAAAGTAATAAATGGGGAAAATGTAGGTAAAATATGAAAACATATTTTAAAAATCGCATCCACCAACTCTCAAAATTTTCACACAAGCTTTTCATTAGCCTGTCTCAGATGAGAAAATATTTTAATCCCCATATCTGAATGATCAGTGAACATTTCCTTAGCTCTTTCCAAATTGTGGTAATATATGAAGCCCCAAAAACACAGAAAAGAAACAAGAAACAGGTACTTAATATACTTTCAATTTAGCAAAGATAAAATACACCATGCATCTGAGGAAGAGAAAACATGTACAAACTTTGTCAGTTTTTTGGAAGTTAAGATTTTTAATTCGTTTATAGTTGTCATTCACTCACAAAGATGTCAACTGAGTTTCTCTATTAATAGCTTGAAACCTGCCTGCAGAAATCATGGCGACCTGTTTCAAGATCAGGTTGAATAGAAAGCTCAGCTAGTAAAATAATAAGCTGGGTATTTCAAGAGAAAAATCTAAAACCAGCTCTGCCACTAAGCAGCAGTTTCAGCTCAGTAAATTAGGGCTGACATGTACCCTACTTGATCTTTAATGATATTTTAACAGAATGAGATGAAATAGATTAAGTATGAATATTTTAATAACAGCAGAAAGTTCAAATAAATGTGTACATTGTGTACACTGTCTTTTAGTTACATAGTCTGAATCAGGAGCTTCAGGTTTTTTTCTTTAAAGATTTATTTATGGGGCCCCCCGGTGGCGCAGCGGTTGAGCGCTGGGTTGCGAAGCTGCCCGCGGCCTCTGCGGCGCTGGTTCGATCCCCGGCTGCTCCCGGCCACTGGAGGAGGGTCCCACATGGCGCGCAGACCTCTCCTGCCGCCCGCTGCTCCCCTCAGCAGTGTACTTCGGTCCTTCTGCCTGCTCTGCTCCCCGCTCTGGCTCTGGTGAATTCTCTCACCCTCCCGCGCTTCTGACTGTACCCAGTGCATGTATAAACAAAACAAACAAACAAACAAACAAATAAATAAATAAAAAAACATGCCTCTATTAAAAAAAAAAAAACTTAAAAAATAAATAAATAAATAAAGATTTATTTATGAATATAAGAACTGGGGTACAGGCCAGAGGTGTGAGGGGTGAGAGGATTCACCAGATAGAGTGGGGAGCAGAACAGGCAGTGTGACTGAAATAAACTGCTGAGGGGAGCAGCGGGCAAGGCAGGAGAGGTCTGCTGAGCCATGTGGATTAGTTCCCTGACCAGGAATCGAACTCGTGCTGCAGTGGCTGGCGATAACTTGATAGCACTGTTTTTAACCCCTGAGCCACCAGGGAGGCCCCAGAAGCTTCAGTTTAAATAACTTGAAGTCACATACTTATGGAAAGATTAGCTTTATTTCATTAAATCCTTCATAACCATCATGGCAAAGAAACAGAGTCCATAGGGAAATGCTTTGTGTCACATCTCAGTATAGGCAACTGACTTAAAAAATGTTTCACTATTAGTTAGAAAGAAATATAATTAACATAACAACATATATATAATACTACACTGGTATTTTTATTTCTAGGAAAATCTCTGGATATTTATAGCTAGTACAGAATTTCTCAAGTTACTACAAAACTAATCACTGCAATATAAATGTGCGAGCTGATGACACCTGGCTTACAACAGAGGAAAAATACTTACATGTTGAAGAAATGTTGCTGAGTAATGCAACTTAATTAAAAATGCCTACCTTTTCCTCCAGCTTCTTCTTTTCTTCACCAAATTGATTTATTCTTTGTTTGAGAAACTGATTGAGCTGTAACACCTCTTTCTCAGTAGATACAAGCTTTTGCTCAAGTTCCTCTTGCTGGGAATGGGATACTGACTGATCTGAAAATGAAGCCTGCAGTGAAGTGTTCTCAAACTGTGGCTATTGGTAAAGAAAAAACAAACAGGTACAACCTTAAAAATTTACTTTCTTGAGACGGAATAGAAATAAGGAACAGTACAGAAAGTACACATAGGCTGTAGCAACTGTCATAGCATAGCGTAAATCCCAGCTCTGCTGTATTCTGACTAGGGCCCATGATTCCATTAAATTACTAGCTAATGACAGGTCTGTCTTCTCATCTTTAAAAACAATTACTGTAAATCTTCTAGCAGTTTTTTTTTTTAAGACTAGAGAAAAAGTATATAAAGTGCCCAGCATAAACCAAAAGCTAAAAAAAGGCAGTTATTATTTCTTTAAAACATATAGGTACAGGGAGATAAAGTAACATACAGAAGTGAAAGTTCTAGGAAAAGAAAACCTAAAGAAAAATTTCCTCATAGGTGATCACATCCAGCTAATAGTAAACTCAGTAAGTATTAATAGAGGTTTTCACCGAATAGAAAGTAAGGTCCATGAAATCAAGTATTCTTGTCTATTTTGACTGCTCTTATATTTTTATTTCCTTAACAGTGACTGGCACAAAACAAGTGCTCAAAACTCTAGTGCTGAATGAGTAAAGGTACTATTGCTTCCAAGCAAGGCTTTGTAGGAAATTCAGAAAAGATATTTCCCCTCTTTATCTCCCTGCAGCATTACAACCTAGAAAGGTATCTCCTCAGAAAAATTAGAACGTGATAAGTGCTATAAAGTATCCATAAAATAATGTGAAAACAAAGAAACAGATTTTTTCCCATTTATTTAACAAACATCAAATAGTTGTTTACTGGGGTTTCAACAGTCAATACAAGGTCTCACCAGTTCAATGAAGTGTTAAAAAAAGACAATGAATAAATAATGCCTAGTGAAGCTGTTAAAGAAATGAACTTGAAGCAGACCTTGAAGAACTTAAAGTTTTGAATAGAGATGCGACTCAATAATTATATATACAACATTTCCCATGCAGAGTATTTCAAAGATGACAGATTCAGACACTGTCCTTTAAAAAATCATAGACTACCTGACAAAAGAGAAATTATAACATGGATAACTGCATATGGGACCAAATATAATAAAGCCAAAGATAAACCATCTTAAGCAAATTGTTGGGAGGAAGGAGGAGAAATGAAGATATCACATGCACTTTTCAACAAAACATTACAAGGTATACTAAAAGGTAAAAAAAAAATCCAGTCAGGAATGCTAGGATTTCCAGACCAGAAATTTTTTAAACTATTATTGTGCTAAGGGCTTAACTACCAAAGTAGACAACATGCAAGGAGACAATATAAGCACAGAGATGATAATTCTAAGAAAGAACAAAAAAAAAATTCTAGAGATCAAAAACACTGTAATAGAAATGAAAAATGACTTCAATAGGCTCATCAGTAGACTAGACATGACTCAGAAAGAGAAACCATTTCTAAGCTTGGGGATACGAGAAAAGAAACTTCCAAAATGGAAGCGCAAAGTGAAGCAGGACTGAATAAAAGGAACGGAATATGCAGGAACTGCGACTTAACTGCTAAATTTATAAAATATGTGTACTGACAACACTGGAAGGAGGAAAAGGAGAGAAAAGAACAGAAGCAGTATTTGAAATAATGAATGAGAATTTTCCCAAATTCTGAGAAACCACACCACAGACTCATGCAGAGTATTGAGTCTAAATAGAACAGAGCATCAAAAATGAAAAATGCCAAAAACTGCACATAGGCATAGCATATCTAAAATTTCTGAAAAACAAAGATCAAAAAAAAAAATATCTTGAAAGAAACCAGAGGGAAAAAAAACATGTTACTATATGGGCCTCCCTGGTGGCGCAAGGTTAAGCACAGCACTATAAAGCAATCCGCAGCCTCTGCAGCATGAGTCCAATCCCCGGCCAGGCAGGGAGCAACCCACATGGCGCAGCAGACCTTTCCTGTCTTGCCTGCTGCTCCCCCCTCAGCAGTGTATTTCGATCAGTCTGCCTGTTCTGTTCCCCACTCTGTCTCTGGTGAATCCTCTCACCCTCCCGTGCATCTGGCCTGTACCCCAGCTATTGTGTGCATAAATAAATACATCTTTGAAAAAAAAAAAAAACATGTTACTATAAATAGCAAAGATAAGTTTGGTCTGACGTTTCAGATACCATGTAAGCAAGAACGAACTGGTGTGAAATATTTTAAATGTTGAGAGAAAAACCCACCAAACTAAAAATCCAAATGCTATAGGTTTATCCTTCAAAAGTAAAGAATGAAAAAAAGTGCTTTCTTAGATAAAAACTGAGGGGATCTGTTGCAAGTACACTTGCCCTACAAGAAATACTAAAATTCTTTAGAAAGGAGGGAAATTGTATAGGCAATATGCACATATACAAAAGTATGGATATGGATAGTGGTGATCATAATACTATGAATGTATTTAACGCCACTGAGCTGAATACTTAAAATGATTAAGATGGTAAACTTTAAATATATATGCATATATTACATATGCAACAATAAAAAAATGAAAACAAAACCCATTCAGAGTTAAGTTTCCCACTTCATCATTTATGTAAAATTACTAGAAAGGCAAACATCTCATCTTATTTTGATAACACACTGTTAACATGGCTACTCATTGGGAAGTGGGAAAAGAGGAGTCTATGCACTGGTGGCGGAGGAGAAAGATCTGAACAAGCTCTTCTGGATGGCAACTTAAAATTCCCATGAACGTCAACTCACACAATGTGTAGAAATTTCACTCCTGAGAATTTAATTTACAAAAATACATGCAATGTTTATATAAGGTTATTCTTTACAACTTCATAATACCCCAAACTAGAAACGAAGCAAATTTTGAGAAGGGACATGCTGTCTTTACAAAATGAGAAATCAAGCAACTGTAGAAACAAAAGAAAAGAATTGCTGCTTATGAAATAATGTGGAAATAATCATTGTATTTTACATGTATATACATTACATAGAGGAAAAAAGTAAGGTGCTGGGTAATTTTGATTTTTTTTTTTTGGTGAAGATGGAGAGGAATAAAATATATTTATATCAACTCTGGAAGGCTATACTAGAAACTAATAGCAGCAGTTTCTGTATGTGTGTGGATAAGGTACAAATTAGACAGATGAAAGAGTAGTTGGATATCTTTTACTACACATATAAGTAAGATCCATGTGAATAGATTATTAATTCAAATAATGTGTACTATTCTTACAAACTAAGCATATCACTAATAAACACTAATAAGATGACAAAATCTTCTGTAATCTTACCTGCAAGCTAGCCACATAAGCATCCTCACAATTTACATAATGTCCTAACATCGCATGTTTTGCCCGTAATTCATTATCCCTTATCCTCTCATGTAGGTGGGTAATTTGTTGCTTCTGCCTGCAAAACATCAATTGAAGTCACATTATAAAGAATATACCTTTCAAAAGACAGTTAAAAGCAGAACTTCTAGTATTCTAATAATTTGACAGGTAAAAGTAATTATCTTAAAATTCATAATAGGAAGTATTTTTAACCATACTACCATGAAATATGTGAAATACAGAACAAGGGTACTTATACTGTAAAGTGCTTCTAGCATTTTATAGACTATGGCCTTTTATAGAATACTCTTCTTAGGCTATACCAAAGTCATGCTTTTTTCCTTTCTTCTGATTACCTAACTCGTTACATCCTCAGTCTGGAATGCCTTTATATTAAAATCATTTATTTTCCCTCACTCAAATACTGTTCAACACTAATACCACTGAAGCTTTTGAATTTCAATGTAAGGAGTGAAACATATTTTTATAAAAGCTATCTATCCAATTACTGTTTGTACATGTACAAAGAAAATGGAGAGGAATTTCAAATAAAGTGAAAGGGAAAATGGTAAAGAAACAGGCCAACTGAATGGTCAATACTTAGTGCTGATAGTGGTCCTCAAAAGGATTGGGACTGGAAGAATGGCACATATCAAAAAAACAAGCAACAACAAATGCTGGCGAGGATGTGGTGAAAAAGGAACTCTCCTACATTGCTGGTGGGAGTGCAAACTGGTCCAACCATTGTGGAAAAATGTCTGGAGGTTCCTTGGTCTACTAAAAGTGGAGCTACCATATGATCCGGCACAATCCACTCCTAGGGACCTACCCAAAGGACACAAAAACAGTGATTCAAAAGAGCACCTGTACACCTATGTTTATTGCAGCACTATTTACAATTAGGCAAAACCTGGAAACAACCCAAATGCCCAAAAATAGATGACTGGATCAAGAAGATGTGGCATATATATACAATGGAATATTATTCAGCAATCAAAAAAAGATAAACTCATGCCATTTGCAGCAACGTGAATGGAACTACAAGGAATTATGCTCAGTGAAATAAGTCATAAGGAAAAAGAAAAATATTGGATGGCGGGCCTCCCAGGTGGCGCAGCGGTTGAGCGCTGGGTTGCGAAGCTGCCCGCGGCCTCTGCGGCGCCGGTTCGATCCCCGGCTGCTCCCCGGCCACCGAAGGAGGGTCCCACATGGCGCGCAGACCTCTCCTGCCGCCCGCTGCTCCCCTCAGCAGTGTACTTCGGTCCTTCTGCCTGCTCTACTCCCGGCTCTGGCTCTGGTGAATTCTCTCGCCCTCCCGGCTTCTGACTGTACCCAGTGCATGTATAAACCAAACAAACAAACAAACAAATAGATAAAACATGCCTCTAGAAAATTAAAAAAAAAAAAAATATCGGATGGCTTCACTTAGAGCAGGCATACAGGGGAACCCAGTAAGACATCAGTGTAAAAAAAATAATAACAGTACAAAACACAACAAAGCAAAAATGGACAATTATAAATCAGAGACACACTGCAGGGGAGGGAGGAGCACAGGGGACTGAGGTGATGGTGCATGGGTACATTGGTCAAGGAAATTCTATGGGGACTACACCTGAGGGGGTGGGGGGAAGCAAATACTGTTTGAATGAAAAATGATGCAAAAAATATACAAAATTTTAAAAAAATGAAAAAAAATTTAAATGAACAATGATGTAAAAAAAAAAAAAAAAAAAAACCCAGAAAGGAAAAGCAAAAAAAAAGTCATGACAACAGATAAATCAGGAGTCACTGACCTATCAGTTACCAGAATCTGCGTTCAGCTAAGACCTATCTTCATCTGATTCCACATACAGAAGTTCAGGCACCATGTGTGGAAAAACACAGATTTTGCCACTGTAGGAAGGCAAAATTTTGCTGTGTAGGAAGCTGAATGCATGTTTGCTGACGCCCATACTCAGTGCTTTTACCTACACTCGCTTCTTCAATCATCAAGGCAACCTGGGGGAGGCTGAGGGAGGAAGCTAAGGTGAGGGAAGCCCAATGGACAAGATGGAGGATTTCTGGGGCTTTGGTAGTGGGTGTGGTATGGTCACACACATCTGAAGAGGTGTGAACCTGTATCACCAAATCATATGCACTGTTGAAAACCAACATTGCCTCAATAGAAACTAATACATTTTTTAAACTTCAAAAAAAAAAAAAAGGATTGGGATTGGGAGGAACAGATATGAGACATCAATATATTTGTAAGCTTCCATTTCTTAACTAAAAATAGAACATACAAAAGTATCTGCTTTCTTAACCTACATGCCATAAACACTGAGTAATTGAGGAAAAAATACGTACCGATCAATAACAATTTCTTTCTGCCTCAGCAGTCCTTCTTTTATTTTCAGCATTGATTCCCACTTACTGAAATCCTGATAGCTAGAAGGTGAATAACTTTGATGAGGCGATCCAGTCAAAACCTGCGCAAATAGGGTTATACGATTAGTGTACTAAAAGTGTCTAATTTAAGGGAAATACTTGTGTCATCTAATATTTTTCAATGTGGTCATTAAAAAATAGAACTCTCACTTCAATATTTTTAAAGACTATTTGAAATCACAAATATTACTACAAAATAACTTGAAGAAATTCAAGAAAGTTTCACTAGGTATCTAGTGATAACTGATGACAATAGAATATTTAATCTAACATATACACATACAATCTTATGCTCAACTTCTGGAAGTTTTGTGGAAATATGTGATTAATCACTGCCTAAAGAAGGAGTATAATAAAAGAATGTAACATAGCTTGACTTGAAAAGCATTTCCAAAACAAAAATAATTGAATACCTTGAACTAAATTTAACAAAAGGGGAAAAGCATTTTCTTTTGTGTCCTATGTAAAGGGGAAATGTGAACCAAACATATACAGAGTGAAGAATGTAAGGAGAACAGTATGTGAAGATGAAAGAAGAGACTGGAGTGATGCATTTACAAACCAGATAACCAAAGATTGCCCGCAAACCATTACAAACGGCTGCAACAGGTTTTTCTTCACAGCCCTCAGAAGAAGCCAACTCTGCTGATAACTTTTCAAACTACTAACCTCCAGAATGCTAAAACAATCAATTTTTGTTGTTTAAGTTACCCAGTTTGTGTACTTTATTATGGCAGTGCTAGCAAACTAATATAACTAGCAAATCAAACAGGAACTTATAAACTCCTTGGGAATCTAAATAATACTATATAAAAGCCACAAAGAAATTTTAGAAGTCAAATGTGTTCCAATGCTTTTATCCTTTGTTTTCCAAAGATGTTACTGAAAAAGCCTGCTTCTGAATATAATTATGTGATATCAAACAACCTTTAAATTAACCCTTTAAGATGACTGTCAAATAATACCAGAATGAGTGATATTTTAGACAGGAGAAAAACAGGATAGGATGAACAGACTAACTACAGAAAGCAGGTGGTAAGAGGGTACATAACTTTATTAAATAGACATTTGGGGTGTAAATGACACACAGTGCTATAGGTAGTCAGAGATCTTGCCTCTGAATTTCATTCTTTCCTTTGTCTAACATGCAACCAATTTTAAATGTAATCTCCATATAAAGGGGAGTTTCTAAGTTCCCTGCCCCACCCAAGGAAGGGCAGAGCTGAACAGTGAGCAGAGGCTAGAAAACACTGGGAAAAGAACAGGAGAAGACTACGACTAACGGAGGCACAAGGAGCAAAGAGACATGGGAAGCAGCAGCCATGCTTGTCTTCCTCCCCTATTACATCTCAGAGCCCTCTCCCTTCTTAACATCTCAGGATGGCATGTAAGCCCAATGCCTTATTATGGGGGAGCCTCCTTTGTGGTAATGCACAGTTGAATTCATTCCTTTACATATTGTCCTAACATGTGAGTTGAGTAGTTGCAAGAGACACTCTCACCTCATTAATAGACTAATAAAAAATACTACAACAAATAACTTTAGCAAGAGTGCACAACCGAAGATCAATGTAAAACTAATCTATCACATTTCTATATGCTCCCATATAAAAACTGGAAACTAAAAAATTTAATATCACATCAAAAAACACTAAATATTTAGGGATTAAAATTTAACATGTTTACAAGATGTGTACACTGAAAACTAGAATCTATCACTAAGAAATTACAGAAAACATTTTTTTCAAGGAGAGTTAATTCAAGACTAAGATGTCAATTGTCCCTAAAATGGTTTCTAGATTAAATAAAATCCCAATTAAAATACCATTTCATGAGTTTAGAAGTTGACAGGCTGACTACAAAATTTCTATGGAAATACAAAGAACTACACTACCTGAATAAATTACAAAATTAAAATATTATAAAATTAAAATCACAAAATTAAAATATTTATGACAATGTGGTATTCACATGAAGATAGATCAATAGAGAGGAATAAAGATCCACCAATATATATACACATACACAGTCAACTGATTTTATTAAAAATTGTAAACTTTCTGTTTGGAGATAATTGTAGACTTACAGCAGTTGCAAGAAAAAAACAGTGTGAAATCAGAGTACATCTGATTCTAATGGTATGCCTTACAAAACCATAGTATGATTATCAAAGCCAACATACTGACATGGATACAATCATGTTATAAAAAATTTGCAATACCACAAGAATTACCATTACTTTTTTTTTGTGGTGAGAACACTTAAGACCTACTCTTAATACAGTAAAATTATAAGCACTATGGTATACATTAGATGTCTTTAACTGGAGTTTGTACCCTCTGACCAATTATCTCCTTTCCCCAGGCTCCAGGGGTTACTAGAATGAAAACCACCATTCCAGTCTCTTTTCTATGACTTTCACATTCCTCATATAAGTGATCCATACAGGATTTGTCTTTTACTTCTTTTTTTCCCACTTAGTGAAATAATTAACTAAAAGATAGGTAAAGCTTTTCTTAGGGAACTGGATTTAGTATTTAATCAAAAGAAATGAAATATGTCTACAAAGACCTATAGGCAAATGTTTGCTCATAAATACCCCAAACTGGAAGTAATCCATATGCACATGAAGTGATAAATGAATGAACTGTGTCATATCCATAAAATGCAATAGTACTCATCAATAAAACAATCACTACATGCGACAATATAGTTGAATCGGTAAAGCATTATGCTAAGTGAAAGAAGTCAAATTCAAGATTATATACTATCTGATTCTACTTATATTGCATATGGAAAGAGTAAAACTAAAAAGACAGTGAGTATATCAGTGATCACCAGGGACAGGGAGGGGGGCTTACTACAAAAGGGTAACTTTCTGGGGCTCTGGAAAAGGTGTTCAACCTGACTGCTGTGGTGGTATACACAATTTTATCTTTTTTCCAAAACATAAACATTCATTTTAATGCTGAATATATTTTTTTAAAAGTAGGTACACCTTAAACTTATATAATGTTATGCAGCATTACTTCAACACAAAAATAGGTATATTTGTAAGTAATATGACAACAAAATTAATTTTCCTAAAATTACAGTAAATCATTTACCAAAATATTGTAATAAAACATTGGGTTTAATAAAACATTAAACACAAAAAGAAATCACCATGATAAAAGTGAAGCAACCTAAATGTGTATCAACAAAGAGATAACTGTGGTATCTGAATACAACATATTACTATACAACAATAAAATAGAATTATTATTTTTACAAGATTTATATGCACATATTAAATGAATCACTATACATTTTATTTAAATAAATAAAATTACAATATAAGGAGTCATCTCTGAAATAATACTGCAAGCAACTTTTCAAGATGGTTGACTTTAATAAATAGCAATCTTGATACTCCTTGGCTATGGTAGAAATATTTACAGCTTAATAATTTATGAAATCCTCTTCCACATTATAGTAACCACCTGATTTTTAAATTCTTTTTTTTTTTAAAGATTTATTTATACAAGAACGGGGTACAGGACAGATGTGCGGGAGGGTGAAAGTATTCACCAGAGACAGAGCGGGGAACAGAACAGGCAAACTGACTGAAATACACTGCTGAGGGGAGCTGTGGGTGAGAAAGGAGAGGTCTGCTGAGCCATGTGGGTCAGCTCCCTGGCCTGGAATTGAACTCATGTTGGAGTGGCTGGAGACAGCTTGATAGCACTGAGACTTTTACCCTTGTGTAACCACAGAGGCCAATAAAATTATAATTTTTGCAACAACATGGGTGAGATTCAGAGACATTAGGTTAAGCAAAAGAACTGAGATGCAACTATACACATGCAATGGAACAAAAGAATGGAAATGAGTGGAGTATGGGTTATACAGGTAGAGAACAGGCACAAATTAGATTTATGGGGCAATGGAAACTTTCATATCTCAACTTGAGTGGTGGCTATAAGGATATATACATTATTCTGTAGGATGGAGCTATTATTATACTTAAGACTAATTTATACACTAAACTCTATATGTGTTAAGACCGCACCAAAAACAAAATCTATCACCATAAGAAATACCTACATTTTGTTTCTATAGCTACCTAAAAGTAGGACTAAGGGGAAATGAAGATCTTCTCTTCCAGGAGAGAACGTATAAATAAAGATGTACTGCAGATTGATAAAATGCATTGTCCTGGCAATAATTCCCTAGCTCTTTATCACTTCAGTGCTCTCCTACATCTGCAAAACATCAAGAGATAAAAGACTAATTGAAACAAGTATTGCACACCAAGAATGCAAGAATAGAGTTGGTAACTGAAGGGTAGCAGAATGCCACGCCAAAATAAGACTAGATTAGTTCAGGATATACCATCTTAAAAGATGCCACTTGAAAAACAGAAAATGCAGGGGGAGGTTTTTCTTCTCCCCTGATGTGCCTAAGACAAATCCTCCAAGAACCCAATTGTCATAAAACCACACCCTGTGCAGTTCATCAACCATGGTATACAGATTCTTACCTCAGGAGGGTAGACTAGGAGCAGATACTATACCCAGACAAATTACCAGATACTGTCAGATCTCCCTATATTCTTCTAAAAACTCACTCTTGCTAAAAATCATTTACTTCCCATCCACCCACCGGCCTCTATCTTTCTTCCCCTTTCTCTATTAAAATGGTAACTAATTATAAATACTAAAGCCTCCCTGCTATAAGTTCTCCATTATTTCCCTGGGTATTTCCCATGTGTGCTAAGGTATATATGTGAAATCTGTTTTTCTCTTGTTAATCTGTCTTTTATTACAAGTTCAGGGGTGGAGAGGACATTTCTAGGTATAATCAAATTGACACCAAGCAGATTAGTAGGAGAAAAGAGTATATTTAATTATATGAAGACTCTATAGATGTAGATTATAAAGCCAATAAAACAAAAGTGGGTGTATATAAGAACAGGATAGGGGCCTGTGGCTTCAAGAAGGAAGGATGACTCACATGATGAGGAGAGGGTGACCCATATGACAAACACCAAGTATTCTGG